ATTTTATTAAATTATTATTCTTCTGAACTCTGCACTGTTTCTTCCACTTATCAAGTGAATTCCTACCTGCCCATAGTGTCCCTGCAATCTCTCAGGTCAGTTTTTATAAACACACCCAAATTATTAAACACTAGACTGTTCAAACAGAAACTTCCCTACTGGAGTCAGCCAAAATGTTCTCTCAGTTTGACAGCAAACCATTTTTAATTACTTCCTGACCACAGGTTTCTAGCACTTTTTCCTCCCAACATGTGAAATTTAGACCAAATTACCCAGTTTATTTATGAAAATGTCATAGTACAGTATAAAAAGTATTCCTATTACCAAAATAATTTTATTCAATAAGTTTTCTAAAATCTAGTGACACAACTCAGTACTTTGAAAAGGCAATTGGATAATTCCTCAAAGATATTTGCATCATATGAAATATTTTAAAATACATTTTGTGCTTATAAATTAATTTGTTAATAATTTGTTCACATATTTCCATATCACAACTCAACTAGATAATTAGAGTAACCAGTCTATTAACACTCTAGTATCTTTTTTCTCTGTTTTTCCTAAAGGTACAATAGATAATGAAGTTTAGCCTTGATCTTGTCATCAATCAAACTCTCCATGTTTCAAGAAACTTTCCTTTTTCTGTGCTCTTTTCTTTGTATTTCTTCTTAATTGACAAAAATAACTTTAAAGTCTGGTTATTTTCAACTCACTCTTCCTTCCCTAATTTTCCTCCTTGGAAAGGTATTTGTCTGTTCCTTTTATTTCTTTTTTGTCCCTTTCAGACACTGCTAGTTCTCATGCATCCTTTAGCTGTTTACACAGTCCTTTCAAAGAAACCTTAGACATTGGATCCCTGAAGAGTTACAGTAAATTAAAACTACAATTCATACAGGAAATAAGTGTGTGCCAGGCACAGGTTATAAATGAAAAGCTAAAAGAATGTGAAGAATTTAAACTAACCCATCAGTTAAAGTGAATCCTTAAGCTCAGAGTTTAAAATCCCATAAAATTGGTAACTCTTAGTTTAATGCCATTTTTAGACACCATTAATGTGAAACAGACCAAACAGGTAGCAATTTGATACAGCATCTTCCTAAGCGAGCAATTTGGAGATTCTTGCAAATCCCAAATTATTTAGCTGCCTGTCAGCAAAGAGTTCCAAAGTTTTTAAGGGCATTACATATAACAAGATTGGGTTGTATACAGTCGGTTGAAGACATGCAAGAAGTATGAATCAGCACTAGATTTCTGTAAGAACACAGGAAATGCCACACTGGCCCAGGCTGGAGTTCCATTTAGCATTCCCTCATTAATGGCAGCCAGTGGCAGATGATTTTAAGAGAAGCACAACAATCCCACACTTGGCATACGTAGGCAGGGGAAAGCAGTGTCTTTTCCCACATTAAGCTATGAACTGAATTTCAATACATCACACAGTGATTCCCCACCTGGAATTTGGCCAGTATGTTGTGAAATTAACACTGTTAGAAAGTCACACTGTTAGAAGGTCAATGCCCTTATTCCTGAGAAATTAGTACAGAAATATGGAGCACTGAAACTGTTCAAGGCCTTGATTGTTTTACCTATACACCAGCACTTCCACAAGAAGTGTTCCTTAGTACAAGGTGTCATGTCTTTGGACTCTACAAAGGAATTCTACTGATACCTACTGCACTGCCTAGGAAGACACACGAATACAGAATAACAAGCTTCCCTTTTCAGATTAATCACAACAGGGCACCAGTCCTTGGACAGAAATCCCTGGCCATAAGCACACAGCTTTATGCCTATTTTCTTTACAGATGTGATCCAGCCCAGGCTTACCTTCCATTGAATACTTGAAGAAAAGGTTGTTAACATTGCTCACTGTCTCCCCATCCTCCTCTTGACTCCTCATGGTGTGGATTCTTTTAATTAAGTCTGTGATAACTTCATTGACTCCTTCTGAGTAAACAGCCACATCTCTGGGTTTCAGAATTTTTTGCCTCAGTACACTTCTCATTTTTAGCCACTGTTCCCCCTCCCTAGAAGAAATGATTAATAATGTCTATACACAATTTTCCTGACAATCATCAGCTGGGTAAGAGCTCTGCAATGAAACTGTGATTTTTCATGTCAAACGAAAGCAAGTGGTAAAATGAAAATGATCATAATGTATATCTGGTATTAGGCTCTTACATTTTTTTCTGTATTTACTGCCCATCCTCATTAAATTTCAGTGTTGCAACATGTAGAGGTCTAAGTAAGTCTCTAGTCTGCGTGACAGAATGAGCACACTTAGTGTTCTGAATTTGACAAGTGTCCCCAGATTTATAGGTTAGCAGTAGCTAACACAAGAAATTAGTAAAATTTTCTATTAAAATGACTTTAAATAGATATTTTAATAGATATTCTGCAAAATTACTTTTACCTAGAATCAGTGCTTAATCACCAAAGAAAGGTATCACATTAAGATCTAACAGATCAATGACTTGAGCTGGTACCACAAATCCCATCACTGATACATCACTTTCAGCCACTGTAATTCTAAACCTACAGCGTAACAGGATATAGATATACCTATCTACAGAGAAATAACTTAAAGATAAATTCTCCTTTAGCTGAGCTATGTGCAGAAATCTTTGTGCTGGAGACTAAAAATCTGAATAGTGACATCTGTGTGCTTTGCATAAGCAGAGTATTTGAAACAGTGGCTCCAGGGATTTTTTCTCACCTGAAGCAATCCTGCTGCGAGGTACAGAAACTTACTGTCCAGCAAAAGAATTTAATCTCTTTAACAGATGTTTTCTGACTATTTCTTGATTTAAGGTATCATTTCACAAAGTATCAAGGAATTGTTAGTTTGAGTCTGAGCTGCAGCCTAAGATTTGAGTCTGCAGTGCAATACATAACGTCTTTTGCTACCATGAAAGAAACAGACTGTCCATGACTCAGGAAATTAGTTTCCCTGTAAACAAACATCCTATGTCAGTGGGGACTGTGAGTAGTTCCCAGTGGCGATTAACCACACCCACATGCACTGCCAGGTTATGCAAGCTTTAAAGACAGATAACTCTTCTAGAACAAGTCATGTACAAAAATATCTGCATGTGGATGCACTACAGTGTGAATTTACCATACTGTGACTTCCCTGCATTAGTCTGCTGAGGGGGGGAACTTTACACAAAACAGTAAAGCTAAAAGGACCCTGAGCCAACAAATCCACACAGCTCACTGCCAGCTGGATGCCACAGTCTACATCTGAAGCAATAAACCCACATTTGCACAGTGCAGTGCCAAAGTTAGTCAGCCCCATTCTGCAAACTGCTTGCAGGTAAGTGAGCCAGCTCAGGCAACTCTAGTTGATACACATTTCCAAAGAATGTCTTCGTGCAAGGTAGCTCAGTGCACATTCAAGCTACACACCATTGCCATCCCTTCGAAACTTCACAGCAGAACAAATTCACAGCATTCACCACAAATTCTTACCCTCTTACCCCCCCCACTAGACTCACAAATTTCCCCACGCAGAGAAGCCTGATTTCCCAGATGACCTGTACAGTCCTTCAGAAAACCACTAAACTTTTACAAGAAAACGAAGGAAATGAAGGAGTAACACGACTTACGCAGAAATAAGCCCTGTAGCTCTCCCTCGTAAGTCTCTGTACTCCTGCCAGGATTCCATGTTAGCTCTTTGTGGTGCTCTACCTTCTGCTCGGAGGACTTGAGCAACCATGTCTCGATCTGCAATGGATACAACAAACTGGGGACCAAAGTGAGACTTGAAGATCTTTCCATATTCCTGAGTGTGTTTTTGCTACAATATCACCAACAAAGAGAAACAGAAGTCAAGTATTACTAAGGAAAACTAACACAAAAGGAAACCGACAATTTGTCATACAGTGAATCAATTTATCACATCTAGAATTTGATCCCCAGCCTTCCCGTCAAGGAACAGTTTGAAATGTCAGGAGAAAGCATCTAAGCATCACTGTGAAATATTCACAAAGAAAACACAGAGGTCACACTGTTCAGGACCTCTGACCGAAAAGACCCAAAGCTCTAAGGCACAAAGTGTGAGTGAAACCAAATACTGTGAAGATGAAAGGACTTGGGGCACTTATAAACACATCCCTTCAGATCAAACAGGTTAGAAAGAATGTCTACAAAAATGAAAACCATGGAGGCACATAGGGTTAAAGTAACAGTATAATACAAAGATGCAATAATTTAATGTCTTTTGTAAACAAATACTTACTCTAACATTTTATTTCTTATAAAAACAACTACGTATAAGTTTCTCACACCTAACCAAGGGCAATGATAGCACAACAGCCTAGTGAAAAACTGTATCTTGGGACAGCTTTGCCAGCAGTGAACTCGAAAAAGACATTAATTCTGCAAAAGAAAGGAAAGGGTGAGGTTTTATTCCTGGAATGAGGTTTATTTATTGGTTGATCCACATATGTATGATTCAAGCTGGAAGCAAGAAACAGGCAATTAATAAAGAGGATTGGAAAACATTAAATTGTGTATATAAAAAAACCCAAACCCCAAACTAAAAAGTTTTCCAGTAAGACTGCACTTTCACTGTCCCATGAAATCCTACTGATTATTGCAAATTAATTGCATTCTGACATGGTCAGGACGTGAAACACCCAATTCCCACGAATTCACTTGGAGTTGAGGGACATCATCATTTCAGAGGGGGGAAAAAATCACCAAAACTGCAAAGCAGTCATTAAAAAGATATTGTTCAGACTTTAAATTCAAATTTTAAACCCTTTATTTCTGTATAATTTTTAATAAATTATGTATTTATGTATTAAGACAAGTTAAACTGACCAAAGTTTGACACATTACCTGCATTCTGATCCAAAGACATCTGCTTGCAGAGTTGTGCTGACTATAAACCAAAGAGGTTTGACACCAGCTACACTAAAGTCTCGTGTTGACCCAAGATTAATTTATGTGAAATATTTTTTTATTCAGTCTTGTTACAGAGATGAATTGTTTAGTTGCCAACAATAAGTTTAAGACACATGAATCACTCCTCAGAATATGGTACCAAGTGCTTATAAAGCATGTAACTCTTTTTGCCCAGTTTCCAAATAAAACAAGAGTTGTGCAATTGTGGTCTCTGCCAGTCACCTCTTAACTATTTTTGGAACACAATGCCCCACTTCAGTCTAGTTTAACAGAGAGTTAAAGGTCTCCTGCAATGATAGTCTTACCATTTTCAAAAATCAGCATCTGGATTCAAATAAGACACACATATTACTCATCCTGATGAGGGAAATGCTAGAGCAGGAACTCAACTGTTGTAATTCCTGCTTGATTTACTCCTAACCAAACAACACAGGCAAAGCAATGTATGAACAAGCACTCTCAAAACCCGAAGTATCTCTCATCCTGGAGATATTTTAGGAATACTGAACTTGGAGATACTTGAGAGTTTGTGTCTTTAAAAGAAATCATGAGTTGGCAGAAGAGTGCTGCAAAGACAACCCAGTGGAATGAGTGGAGTACAGGCCACAGTCACAGAAAAACAGGTTTGACAAATTTTGTTGTTTATGGAGCAGTTTGGTTTTTGCCGTGATGCTGACAATAAACTTCAACAGAAAATAAATCAAGTGTCAAATAAATGAAATAGTTGTTTTAAACCAGAAATGGATGAGGCCAAAGTATTTGGACATGTCTTGCTTTCAACAGGCTGAATGCTGTTCTATCAACTTCATGTATAAAGAAATCCCCAGGATCTCTCTTCCATATTTTCTATGACAACGTAGGTTTTTCTTTCCCTTGTTCCAAACCCTAAAACACACTTTAGTGCCTCACATACCACTCTCACACCAGTCATTCTTTCACACATCATAAATTCAAACTGCCAGAATCCAAATCCCTCCCTCCTCACCTTTCTTTTCTTTACTCTTGCATAGCACTGACGAGACAAAAGAGATCTAGCCCCATCAAATTAAAAATAGTTTCCCTTTGTCATAACTGCTGTAGGCATTACTCCTTTGGCCAGGACTAACTGGAATCATGTTACTGAGAACAGAACCTCCTTTGTAAAAAGCGCTCGGCTTCCCCACCCCTCCTGCATATAGCATACAAGTATTTGTGTGTGCCAAAGGACATCGTTTAAGTAGCTGTGCCGGTTACCAAAGGGTTTTGGATTAATTCATTCCTGATGTTCACTGTATTGTTAAATTTAACAGACTGTTATTAATCCAGTTAATGTCTATTTGCATTTGGTGTGTGTGCAAACAGGGCACCCCGTGAGTTTTGGGACTCTAAACAGAGCGAAAACTACTATATCACAACTCGTTATCCTTCCTCACACTTTCCTTTCTGTGAACAACATTGCATTATTAGAGAAGAAAATATCTGTATCACCTAGTGGTAGTGAAAACCATATACTATTTGGGTTGTCTTATATTCCTTTTAATATTTTGGATCATTTTCGCTGTTTTGACAGTGAAAGAACTTGCACTCAATGATAGCATCACTTTTAGTGTTATGAGACTATGGTGAGTGCCTCTCAAATTCTACACACCACCACAGAGGAAGAGAATAAAAGAAATAGAATGGAACAAAAAGCTTTAGCTGCTAAAGGTTCATCTGCATGTGTCTTGGTTAGCAGACAATCAAGCTGAGCAATTCATCATTAGCAATCTAGTTTGACTTCCATCAAACACAGCATACACCCAGGAGCCTAACGTGTCTTTCAAAAAATCTAAGTGGCAAATACAACAAAGCTAGACAAAACTAAGCAACTTACGTGGGGTGTTTTTTTCTGTTTCCTGCCTCTTTCCAGTATTTTTAGGCCCTATGTAAACCCTAATTTTTGAGTTTTGATTCTCAAGCCCTTTGAAGTTCTGGGTTTTTTTGTTTCCTTTTTCTACTTCCCTTTCTTTCTTCTTTTTCTTAAATTTCAGCAATTTTCAGGCCCTCTTGGGGCTGACTGTGAATCTCTTCCTAGCAGTCTGGGAAACGTCACTTAGAAAAGCAAAATAATTGATGCCACTTCTGAGGTATTCCCAAAGGGATCAGTACCGCCAGTGGAAAGCATTATACATCCACAGCTGCAGAAGTGTGAAAACTGCCTTACTCCTTTACAGACAAGCGCTTCCTTTAGAATGGCTTGGACTACACGGGGGAAGGGCCCCGGGAGATGAACGATGACATTTTAGGAATGAAACCCACATGTTCGGCCAAGCAACCAAAAAAATCCATCTTTGGGTAGAGACAGCCTTACGGTGAGAGTGTCGCCCATCCGACCCGACCCTCGTCCGCCTAACCCCGCACTGCTTCACGCACCGCACCAGGTGCACCCGCGGTCACCGCGCGG